ATATATTTTATTGATTTTTACAGAGAGGAAGGGAGAGGGATAGAGAGTTAGAAACATCGATGAGAGAGAAACATCGATCAGCTGCCTCCTGCACACTCCCCACTGGGGATGTGCCTGCAACGAAGGTACATGCCCTTGACCAGAATCGAACCTGGGACCCTTGAGTCTGCAGGCCGATGCTCTATCTGCTGAGCCAAACTGGTTAGGGCACATTTTGTCTTTTCTAGCCATCAGGAGCTTTTGAGATATGCTCAAGAACTATTTAGAAGACGAGATTTCTCCAACCTTCTCCTTCCCCTGGCAGATATTCTGACTTTTCACCTAAATTTAGATTCCACCTCTTTTATAATCACCCAAGCAAGTAGCTCAGGCCTAGGTACCTGGAAGGCCCATCTCCTTGGAAGCATGTATCACACTTAAAATTTTTTTAAAAAAATTGATTTCAGAGAGGAACAGAGAGGAAGAGAGAGATAGAAACATCAATGATGAGAGAATCATCGATTGGCTGTCTTCCCCATGCCCTCCCTCCCCGCACACTGGGGATCAAGCCCATAACCCGGGCATGTGCCCTGACTGGGAATCAAACCATGACCTTCTGGCTCATAGGTGGATGCTCAACTAATGAGCCCACACTGGCTTGCTTATCACACTTTTTATTAAATAAGTAACCATGTAGTTTGTCTGACATCTATGTATCCCATTTGGGGGTAAATTCTGCAAGGACAGGGATGCTAACTATTTTACTCACTGCTGTATTCCCAACATCTAGCAAACAGCGCAATACATAGTAGAGCCCAATAAAGACATGTGACAAGAATGAATGAATGAATGAGTGACTGAATGACGGAGCCATTATGATTTCGATAAGCAGGGCAAAACTTTGTTTCTCTGAAGGGAAGCCTTAATGTTAAAGGTTCTGTTTGTGAAAGGGAAAAACAGGCCTTGGGGAAGTTGGTGACCAAGAGCAGTGGTTAATGCTTAAGTGGACCCCATGGACAGCCCAGCGTGGGCCAAAATAGAAGCAACAAATGGCTCTGGGCGGGTTGGGAATGCGAGTGGGGATGGTGAGTCACAATTTCCTTTATGTGACCCATCACTGTCCCCCATAGTCATATTTACTTTAGACTCTGTACTGTTCCCAGAGGATTTGGGGTAAAAGTGGAAGTTGGTTTGTTTATGTGTGTGTGGCAACAACATTTCAAAGAGGTTATTGCTAATCACTCCTAATACTTGTGGGCCCAACTGGCCTTTTGGGGGTCAATCCCTGGAATTGCACCAATTAGCTCAGCAGGCCCCTACCTCCTCCTGAGACCCGGGCACAGCTGTGGCCCCTGTCTGGACAAGGGGCCCAGGGACAAAGCAGGAATCAGACATCCTGGGGGCAAGAGGCGTTGGCAGCTTCTTTGGGGACCAGGAGGAAGCAGAGGGTAGGCCTGTGATCTGAAGGGACCTGCCGGGCTCTTGTTATGCTCACTAGGCCTTAATTAGGGCCTTTGGTCTCGGAGCTCTGATTGATGGCACCAGGTTCCTGAGGGAATGGGGCTGGATCAAGACTGGAAAAAGTCCAAACATGTTAAAGATTATGTTTGGTCTCCATATGTCATTCAAAGTAAAAACAGTTAAACCATAAAATATGTGCAAGAAGGTCAATCTAGTTCAGGTTTATCCCATGATGGTTACATGGATGCTTTGCTGCAAATACTAAATTCTTTAAAAAAAACACACCCTTTTATTCCAGTTTTGTTTTGGTGTTTCTGCTTTAGTAATGCCATACATTTCTTGTCAGCCTATTAAAGATTCTACCCCTGAGGAAAGGTCTGAGGGAGGGGTCTTGTCACTGAGACCTGAGTGAGAACTAAAGAAATCTGAGTGGGGGTCCCTGGCTCATCAAGAGGCTGAGGGGGTGTGTTGCTGGCTGCTAAGGGAATGGAGGGAAGAGTTCTGACAGCTGAGGGATCCATGGGAAGTCCCTAGTCACTGGTAGTGCTGAGGGTGGGCTCTGGTCAGTGAGAAGCCTAAACAAATGGTTTGGTCATTGAGGACCCAAGGAAACGCCCTGATCACCGAGGGGCCTAGTGAGGGGCCCCACTAACCAAGGGGCCTGCCAGAGACATCTGGTCAGCAAAACTGAAGGCGAGGCTCCCACCATAAACTCTTGAGTGTGGTCAGTGGGTCCTAAGTGAGAAGGTCTACGCCATGAGACGGCCAAGGAGGATGTGTGGGTCACAGAGGAACATTAACTTCTGAGGGGACTGAGGGTGGAGTCCTGGCTTTGAGAGGTTTGAAGAAAGGGCTCTGACCACTGAGACATGATTGAGTGTCTTTGGTCAACAGGAAATATAAAAAAGGGGCTCCCTCCATCAACTCTGATGGCAAAATGACCAGTATGGGGTCCAATAGCTGAGATTCCACGACCAGATTAAGCCATAGTGAAGGATTCCTCCTTTCCCTTACTTCCAGCCTGACCTGCAGGTTTTCTAGGCACCAGTAGATGGCACTGCAGCTTCACACGAGGAAGGGGCTGCTGGCTTGGTTCCCAAGGTGGGGTCCAGGTGCAAGCAGGTGACCCCTGGGAGAGAGAGGAAATTAGTTGCTTCCTTGACCAGACTCCCTGGTGATAGGGAGGAATGAGGCCATGATGGCCAAAGCTGGTTTCCTAAACACAGGCCACCTAGAGGCTGAGTCCTGTTATCACCAGACCAACTAGTTCTAAACGCAGTGCGACTTTTTATGTTTGATTCATTCATACATTCATCTGTTCAGCAAATGTACACCCAACACCTGTTAGAATTAGTGTGAGGCACGGAGGACACAGGGTGATTGAATAAGGTCACTGTTGTTGAGAAGTCCATAGTCTTGGGGGGGAAACTTTATTGCAAACCTAATGATTACAATAAATGTGATGAAGACTGTAACACAGGATGCATATATGCCCTGGGAGTCCAGGAAAGGAATGACTATAAAGTTTGGGGAGGTGGTGAACATGAGAGAAGAGAGAGGTGACATTGATGTAGGGTCTCAAAGTATGAACAGGGACCCCACAAATGAGAAAAGGTGTCTGGAGTGGAAGCAGAAGTGTGAGTAGAGGTGTTGAGAGATCTTTGTGCAATCCAAAATGTCTAGGGCATAGGAAATGTGGTGGGGGTGGGCGGGGAGGATGGTGGGGAGTAGGAATGACAGAGATGTATGGGGAAAGATCATTAAGAACCTTATAATCCATATTTAGGGATCTGGTCATGGTCCTTTAACGGATGAAGAATAAGGAGGGTTTTCAAGATGGCAGATGAAATATTCAGGTTACTGATTAATTACTCTGGTAGCCAAGGTGTGGGGTGGATTAGAGGAGAAACAGACTGCATGCCGGAACCCAGGTAGGCAACCAAGTTAGAATTTATGAGTGTTAAGAGAAAAAGGGAGCCAGGAAAGAGAAAAGAGAATGGAGGGGTATTTAGGAGAGAGGACAAATAGGATGTTGTGCCAAAGTAGATGTGAAAGGTAAGGAAGAATGAAGAATTTAGGAAAATAAATGTTAACATTTACTAAGCATTTAACAGTTGTAATACTTTATCTCACTAATCATAACAGCACTCTATTAACTAGGAATGATTACCCTCATTTTCAGATGAGGAAACTGTTATGCCCAGATCTCAAGATCCCCAAAAATCCACACTAGGAGCCAGTTCGATGCAAAGGCAGAAGGTCCTTTTATTGAGCCAGCCAGCCCGACTACCGCTCCAGGCCAACGCAGTGACTGGAAGCAGAGTGAGGTGGCGTGGGAAACTCAGGGTTTTAATAGGGGGGCGGAGTGAGGGGAGTGGACTGACTGTGGGCCCTGCCGATTGGCCAGGCGCAAGTCAGGTCTTGTTACACAGGATGTGGTCATCTCTATGGCGCACACGTCCCTTGATTGTCATTGGTTAGTTTAAAATCCCGGGCGTGGCCAGCAGAAGCTTGGACTTCCGGGAAGAAGGTGGCACATGGCCAAGGTAAGATGGAGCACTTACCCTGGGGCAAGATGGAGGGCGTAGCCCTTGCCCTTTCATTCCCCCCTTTGTCTTGGAACTTCCGGCTCAATCATGAGCCGGACTGCATTTCTATTCCACCGTTGCTAGAGGCCCGAACTGGGCACATGGAATTATTAATTGAATTATCTCTATATGCTTAATAAATGGTCCGGTGGAAGGGAAAGAAACTATTTTAGCTTTAATAACTTCTATTGAAATAGGATTTTTCTTCTTAAAATTCCTCCATGGCTATTAAAAAGCCAAATCAAGATTAATTTATCTACTGTCCTGATGTTTGCATAAACACAACAAGAACGGTAACTGACTACCTTTGCTGGAATCTCATGGTTGAATCTTAATGTGCCCCGTAGGGCCAGGAAGCCACGCCATCCAGCTGCCATCAGGCCTGCCTGCAGTATCTGCTGAGTTAGGTGAATCCCTCACCTGTAGCAACTCCACCTGAGCCCATGCTCTAGGCTTTAAGGCCCATCTTAGTAGCCCTTCTACTTGTTGCGGCCCAGAGTGTGTGGGGGTTCCGCAGGGATGCACAGGCATCTTTACTGCTCCCCTTCTACTCTTTCCAACCGCCAGTGATGGTAGGGCATGGCCCTGACGCTCCAGCGCCAGCCATCTTCAGGGCTCCCAAGCAGGATACCAGGCTTTCTTCATGGCATTTTTACTGGCTTCAAGTCTTTAGAGCTCAGACAGGGCTCTTTAAAACATGATACTCCAGTCAAAGTTTTCCGTTAATAAAACCACTATTAGGAACCGGTCTTATTGAATCTATGCAAAGAAATGTATTGCCATGACTTATTTAGCATTGCCAAATTTCGGAGGAATTACATAAGGAGAAAAA